TTAGCTGGGGTGGGGACATGCGAAATCAGTAAGTGCTAATTAACGAGGGGGTCATAACCCATTTTATTCCCATTCAGTAGAACTTCACCTCAGACATACAGAAATACCTCTTGATTCTACTCTATTACTTAGGGAGCAATCTGTATTCAGTAGTTTAAATACAATAAATAAATCAATGCTGTTGATCGTATTACTATCTGCCATATCATAAACTGATTATGCACAGAGGTTCAGAAGAATAAGCAGAAACATCACACTGTGAGGATAAAGCAGAAGTGGAAATACAGTGATTCCAAGTAACTATTCCTCCTCCCATGGTTTTAGGCTTTTACAGAACTACTCCCATGATTTTATTCTTCTAAACATTTTACAATCAAACATTAATATTCAGCTTTGTATAGTGTACTTCTCAAACAAAGCACCTATTTTTCACCACCCATTAACCTAATCTCTTACCCCAAGAATATCTATTTTTCACAATCACATTTTAATGTTGCATGATTTCTTTTTGAGTATTTTTGGGTTTGCTCTTTTTGATTCAGATAGGGTGCAAAGTCATGCAGGCAATGGCTCCTGTATCGCCCATATGCAGAAATGTTTTCTTTAGCCTAACGTAAATAATGCAATTGAGTCTAAGTGCATGCTTTGTTCTCTTCTCAGTAAATAGATTGTTTCCTTACAACTTCAGTTATGAAATACAAAATATATTATTTGGCTTTCACAGTACTCAAGTTGAGGTCCATTACCTGTTTCTTACTTGAAGAAGCTACAATTCTATTTCAGAATAAATTATTGCAATTTTGGGCATTATCATTGACATCACTCATGCCCTTTTATGTTACTGAAGAGAGAAAAACAAACGAAGAAAACCTCTTTATTTACACTTCTGTGGTTTTTTTTATAGAAACAGCACTTACTAAAAATCCATCAGGGTTGTTTTAACTTAAATACTATTGGCCACATTCAACACTTCACTGTTTTTTAATTGTCCTTTTTAAATGACCAGGTCTACCAGATGACAATAACATCTGTCAGAGATACCATAAGCCTCAAAAAAAATATTCAGAACAGCTTTTTCACTATGGTAAAAAGTAAAATCTACAACTAAGATCACTTTCAGAACACTGCATGTAAAACAGTTCAAATTATCCTTATCAGGCAGAGTTTGCAATCTAAAGAGACAAGACAAAGGAAATATTATCCTCATACTTAAAAGGCACAAAAATATTAGGTGCAGATAACAGACAAATTAATTTGTTTTCAAAGACTCTCTGTTTCCCTAGGCATGTTTGTTTAGGTAAGATTAAGACACTTGTTAGGCTTCCTACGTAAATCATTGATAACCGAGACTCAAGACCTGCAATAGACACTTGGGCAACTCCTAGAATGTGCAAACTAAGATGAGGTGGACTCGAACAAAAGGACACAGAGATCCTGTACAGGGAGGCTGATTTTGGTGATTGAGGAAGAAGACACCTGGACTTCACAGCCCATGCTCTGGGAAGAAGGTCAACTAGCCAACACAGTGAAGGAGACGACTTACTTCTGCCCTCAACCACCGAAGACCCTCACTCTATTTTTACTACACGTGCTTGGACTATGTAAATGAATTCCAGGAACTCATACCATAAGACACCCCTTTCCAGGATATCTAATGAATATGTATGACTGTGTGTATTTACACTGATGTCCCCTGCTAATTTGGGGGAGGCCTTAATGGTGGAGAATCCCCAGGGCCACCAGTGCTGCTAATAAAGAACATCTGCTTAACAGTAAAAACTTTGCTGTTAAGTCAAATTCTTTGTTTCTTTTGAATTACAGTGAGCCCCTCTACTCTATGCCACACTTGCCATTCAAGGGAAAAAAAGATTACAAATTATCGGTCTACAAATGTAGTTTCAAATTACATAGTTTTGAAAGAGATACACGTGGTGTTCTGTCCAGCATGGTGGAATTTGTAGTGCTGTGCAACATGCCTAAATCAAAGATGAAATAAAGAACCATTTCTACTCAGACATTCCTTTATACTGCCAACAGGATAAGGATCCTGCAGGATAATGGAGTGCTCTTACTTACTGAGATCAGTTGTGACCTGTTCTTACTGTTACCAAAGGTCCTGTCTGCAATGCAGCCTCAGGTTTTGGATATGGCATACACGAAAAATCACCCCCAGAATACCGATATAAAAAATATTTGCAAATTCAGATCACTTATGATTTTTAGAATGTTCTGAAACATTGTCTTCAGTGCCCTGATAGCAAACTGCAATGCAAGTTTCATCTCAGTCTCACGTGTCAAGAAAAACTGAAGAAAGCATGTGGAAGATTTATGACAATTCTGTACAGAAATATCTCACTTCAGACAGTTTTTATCTGCTTGTCAAAGCTGCACACTGCAAACTCATTCTCTACAAGTATTTTTTTTATCCACTGCAACTCAGAAAAAGAGAACAGAACTTGCTGACTTCGTTTCATAGCCAGATTTTGCAATACTGTACATTACTGTTTGCCTACCATAACAATGACGTTTTTCTAATTTCACTACTTTAGAATATCTTTTCTTTAACTGCAGCGTATTTTTCGCAGTACATTTTTTCTGTTGCACATGATGGTTCAGATTTAGTTTAGAAATGTTTTCCAGATTGAAAAAAAAAAAAAAAAGTTTGCCTATTCAGATTCAGCAGTTTCCCAGTTACAACTTCTGTGGACATGTTTGATTCCTTATTTCCTTTCTTTCATCAGCATTTTACAGTTCTGAGTCCACTCTATTCCACCAGTGTTACAGTCTTGCTATAACACTGGTCAAATTTTATGTCCTATTCTGCAAACTGGGCCTGTACTACACATGTTTTAGGCTTCCTATTTGTCCATAAATTCTTCTCTACATGTATTTTAAGTGTACAAGTACCAAAATCAGTCACTTATCTTCTTCAGTGGAAATAAATTATTCTTTCAGGCTAATTCCAATATTTCCTTAGAGATTCTCCCAAAGAAGAACAAGAAATTACTCTTAAGAGCAAGATGACACAGTACCACAGTCTACAGATCACTTTCCCTGGAAGGGTCCAAATTCTCCAAGTAGATCAGGTGATCAAAGCAACAAAGAGAATCTTATGCAAATTATAAAATCCTTAATTCATAATTATCTCCCTCATAGGAGCACATAAATATAACATATATATTACTTTTATTTGTATAAGTAATTGACCGCTTATAAAGCTTTTAATAATCTTGAGTTTAAAGGGGATTTTAGAAATATAAAGCAACTTTTTTCAGTTTATCTAATCCAAACAAATTTGTTTCAGAAGTTGTGTATCTGGGTAGCCCTGTGAAACAGAAGAACAATATTTGCTGATTTTTAAAAGACTTAGGAGGTGGCTATAGGTCTGCTTTATAGAGGAAACTACACTCAAGTATCAAGGATTTTTTCGTCTGGCTATATATGTATCTGAGATTTGGTAGCTACACAGGGACATTTTTTATTCAGTATCCAGCTGCTGAAACTAATGACATTACAGAAATATCACCGAATCAATTTTGGACTCTCAGCTGCTTTTCTGAACGAATTGTGATGACAAATTCTGTTATTGCCCTGACAGAACATACAACGACCGTTCATTTTTATTTAAGCTGAGTAATTTTTTAGGGTACAACAAACACAGAACGACACCTCTTTATAGCTAACAATTATGCATCATTCCTAGAGGGTAGCAGCTGAGGAATGCTTTGCTAAAGAAGTCACATCCATACTATGTTAATTCACTTTTCTGAAGTCTTGACTTGCTTTGAGGACAGCAGTATCTCTGTTGGAGCCAGCATGCATTAAGCTTAGCTTATCTTTGGGCCAGTTATCACCCACTCACTGCTCACATATTCCGAATCATTCAGTCACAACATCACGTATTGTGAAAATGTACTCCAACAATGTGACTAAATTTTAAATCATAACAATTATATAAGAGGGACCTGGACCAAATTAAATCCCAGTTTAGGTGGTGACATTGCAATGTTCCTACCGCACAGTGGTCTTGGAGATGTTGTGCGTGGTTGAGGAGTGAGTGCATCTCATTACTTTGTGAGTAATGAGAACAAGGTATGCAAGAAATTAGCTGAAATACCACCTCTATTTCTCCAGCAAAAAAACCCAGCCCCCCACTCAAAGCCATGCCATTAGCTTTTACCTTGACAGGGTCACCGAACATCAGTCTCACTGAGGTTTACAGCAGCAGAGCAAAGGCAAAGAACATTTCTCTCAGGAACCATGCCTAAGCAGTTCCCAATGTTTATGAAAACAAAGGTTTCTTACATCTGAGAAGCTATTCGAATTTGAGAATCCTGAAGTCTTACGAGCTCCTAGGTCTAAATACGTACCACAGATTTATTCTCACTCCCTAATGGGGCAAAAATCCTACGGAAAAACAACAGATGTATTGACAGGACAGGATCTATGTCATACTTTTATGGATCTTTAATCTGAATGGTTAGAAGATAAGAATTCAAGGCAGGATCCAGGGCAAGAAGTCAACGTATACATAGGCAGAAATTACTTCAGTTTGGCTCAATCCATCACTACCAAAAGAAGCAAGTCCCTTCTATTGCAAACAGTGATCTCAATTTTTGTGACTTTCTGTTGAGAAAGTTAGTGCTCTGCAGTTTCTGGACAAAGAATGTTCGAGTTCCACCAGTTTTCCCCACACTTAAGTCCATATCAAAACCTGAAGGATGTGCCCTCATTGGTGTAACTGAGCAGAAAAGCAGTAAATTACTTTCATAAAGTCAATGGCAATTGTTCAATGGCTTATCCCTAGAAAAGTCTCTGATAGTGACATTAAGCTAACCACTGTTTCCTTATACACATTTACATACTACATCTTGAGTCCAATCCTACACTCATTCATTCATGCAAAATAACTGGCTTTATTTGGTTTCCTCAAAGTCAGAAAAAAGATTTAGTCCCTTCCATATGAATCATGGAGGAAAAAATTAATACAATTTACTTACCGAAGGATTTCTTTCCGAGTGAAGAACGTGCAATCCTGTTAAAAAACAAAACGTGTTACTGTACTACAGAAATACTGAAAACAACTGCAAAGAATTATTTTCCAACCTTTTGGAAGGAAACTCAGATCTGACAGAAAAACATTAAAGATCCCATTTATGTACCATCCGCTTTTGACTCAGAAAGTAATTTACACTACGAAATAACTGAAATATCCTAAGGACAGGACTATCAGTAAAAAAAAACATTGTCAATGTGGAACTTCAGAAGAAAAAAAAACAGATTGCTGAAATAGTTCTCTACTGTGGAATGACTAGAACAGAAACTAAATTAATGAAGTGAGGTATAGGCCAAAAACATTCAATAAATGGGTCTAAAAAGCTGTAAGTAACAAACAGATGAAGAAAACTCAGAGTATTCCTCTATTAGAGACAAGTGATTAATAATAAAAGTCATGTACTTATTAGTTATTAACTCCTTTTGCTAACAATTACTTTGCACTGTGGACACTTCAGTGAAGGCTGCAAACTCCCATACGTTAGGAACGTGGATAAAAGGACAGCTTCTGCTCCAAACAGAAGGCAAAATATTCATCTTTCCCTGTAGTACTGCAGAACTTGAAAGAACTTAACAGAATGCAAAGCAGAGCTTGCTGAAGAAGAGTTTAAAAGCATTTGCTTGCATTCTGAATGGCTCTGTGGTGGGACTGCATTTACAATGGTTGAATTCCCTCGTTATGAACATCTGCATTTTGCTAGAAGAATTCACACACTTCACAGAAGAACCATCAAATGAGCAGTGAAATAGTTTGCATTCTATGTATTTTTACATCAGGCCCAAAGCAAGTTATATTCTCAAGTGCTGTGAGGAACTATAATAATCAGTCCCATCCCTTAAACAGAAATATCCCCCAACCCCAACTATCGTATCTAATATATATTTAGGGTAAATTCTGTTCTGCATCCAAAACTAGGAACACTGGTGGCAATGAAATACTGGATGATCGGTTTAAAACATTGTTCAGATCATAAATTCAGAGAATATGCATCTTCTTGTCTTAGAGATGGTGGCTGATGAGGGTGTATATATAGGGAACAACAACCAAGCCACAAAATGCTGCCTGATTGTCCACCTCTCTCACAGGCCCATGTGACAGGACAAGGCGTTTGCCTAAGAATTCAGCTCCCAGTAGTTTTTCTCCTTTAATGTAAACATATTTGAAATACATTTTAAAATCAACTAGTGACATGATAGCAACATCAGACTTGGTAAGTCACACTCAAGAGTACATATGCTCTTCACCCAAGTAGTGAAAAAGTATTTCTTTCCTCAACTGAGAATCATTCTGGCTAAATGCTTGCTTCTTCCAAGGAGGGGAAGAGCAAATGATCACAGGTGAAGCAGTCAAACAGCTTGTCTCAGGTATCCAGGTATGCGATCAGTCCCGCACGGTATCAATTATTGAGTTTGCTTGCTCTCCTCCATATGAAGTGGCAGGAGAAGCAGCTCTTCATGTAGCAGCTCTTTAGTGTAGTGTAGCAGAATAGCGTTACAAGGCACAATAGGAAGCACCTTGTGAGCTGCTGACACTGATGTCACATTGTCTGGAACTGCACAAAGTGAAATAGGAGCCAGCTGGTTAAGCCTTCATTAATTCCAGCACATTCAACATTTACGGTCAAACTGTCACTTAAGGATGCTTCATTTACTAATGAAAGGCAGGTGCAATCTCACAAATAATTGTGATGCACTCAGCAGCAATCATCCCGTAATTATATAGGCTGGAGAAAACAGCAGACTGTTACTTAACTAGAAAGCTGACAGGGAATTGATATGCAAATCAAGATAAAGATGAAGAAGAAAAGTTATCATTTACCGTCCAGAAATAATGAAAAAATAACACCAGAAGATACATTAAGAGGTCAGATCATAAACCTTTTTTTTGCTGAAGGTCCACGTAATTATTTTTTTTAAATCTGAGTTATCTCACGAATTTTACAACATACGCTATTGTCTGCCCTTTTTTTTTAACCAAACAAAATTTTTACTAATATAATCTTAAACCACTGATATTGAAAACCTTTATAACAAAAGTAGTTGCAAGTATCTGCCTGACTATTGTTCCTGCAGTATTCCAATTATGCCTGCCAATTACATGGAATTGTGTGTCAGGGATGAGGGGTGTCAAAAAAATGTCCAGTGGTTTCACAGACCACTTGCAGAGAGCTTATAGCTACTCAGGGACAGAGCACCACAAATTAATTGTGACCTGGCCTATACTTTTGATCCACAGCAATACCATACACAGCACTTCAGAAATGCTTTACCATTAAGAAGCCTGTCCTGTCTCAAATAGCAAATGTAAAAGCCAGGGCTCCAAACCATCTCTGAAAGGGAAGTGCAGCCATCGTTCTTGTTTCTCCCAGCTTCTTATTTCTGACTATTCCTTTATGTGGACTTGACACCTATGAGTAGTATAACTACATCAGAGAATTCTAAAGGAAGGAACTAATGTGTTTGGAAACTGGATTCCTTTCCAGGTTGGACCATTAGAATATAGCATTGGTAGTGCTGGTACAAGAGATGAAGCTTAAACAAGTATCTATGGCAGGAAAGAGGTGCCGGACTGCCCTTTAATTTTTGAAAGCACAGCCCTAAGTTGGATTAAAGTCACGATGGAACAAGGGTCTAAATAACATAATTACATTTTATAGTTGCTGGAACTCCAGCAATTTAATTCCAATTTAATTAAAGAGTTTTGGCCCAAGAAACACGGAGGTGAATCATCCAATTTTCTTCTGGCTACTTCACTCATACAGAAAATACACAATGATGAATGATAAATAGTAAACTAACATGTTAAATTAACTCCCTCATAAAGAAAGGTGAAGTAGGTCCTGGAAAGCATTTGTCATTTCAACATATGATGACATTCATCTTCCTTTAAGACACAGATATCACAGAATATGTTTTCTAGAATGTGGACTATATCTGTGTTTATTATGAAATTAAAAAGCAATCTGTCTATTCTGTCTGGACATTAGAGCCACTGGAAGTCCTGCTAAGAAAGTACAAAGTAAATACTGAACAAATAAAGGTTATCATGTTTCATAATTCTTATCAATTCAAGATTTCTAGCAATAATTTATCTTGAAAATTGTTGCTTTTATTTCTAATGCTATACAACGGCCTGAAAAACTTCTGCCAACAGGAGGGCCCTTGTGGGTTTTAGGTTATTTAGAACAGAGGCTTTGCCTTGAAAGGCCACCTACTCCAGCCCCTGAGAAAATACCTGCTCCTTTTCTAAGATCAACTATCCCACTTAGTCTGTCCTTCTGCCCTTAATAATCAAGTTAATTAGAAGTCTGACAATGCATCACCGCTGCTTTTTTGGAGACAAGGTTCCACTTAAATCTGCAGTTATCCACTTAACTTCATTATTTCTAGCAAAGTGAATAAAATAAAGCAAACAGAAAATTTCCCACTGATTTAAATGAGATTATTAGCCTGTATAATGGGACTTGGTTCTCAAATTTGGCATTAAGGCGGCTTAACTGGTTCATAAAATACTTTGCAGAGAAGAGTCAGATAGCTAGTGTAATTTCGGTTCCATGGGTGGCTTTGCTCTTGGCTGGTAGTGTGACTTTCTGCAAGTCACTCAATAGTAGGGTTAATGTTCTCTGCTTTAAAACTTACTTTACAAAAGCGCAGAACATCCAGGCTGTTAAGAGTTTTATTCTTGATTTCCTATGTCAGGTGAATGCAGGTTTAGGACAAAACAGGAACAGACTGAAATATGGTGGTCCACTGCCTTTTACACTAGTCAGTAAGACTTCACCGCAAGCTCCTAGATTGGTTCTGCTTCATGTTTAGGTCAGGTGATTTGAACAAAAAATAGGAATAGCGGTAACTGTGCTGAGAATGCTGATACTTTACATAAAGTGTACATACACAATATACCACGAGGTATGGCTCTAGAATCAGACCATATGTAACTTGTTCTTTTGGATATATTGCCAATACCAGAGCACAGCACGCAGTTTATGAATGGCCGCAGAGTTCACTGAATGAAAGATTAGCACTTACCACTTTTGGAAGCAAGTATCATTGCACATAAAGCACAGTTTTCAAAAGAAACTAATTTCCCATTGAAAAACAAAACACTTCTGTACAGAAAAGAAGAAAAACTGGAGAAAGGAACAACAGAATGAAAGAATAGCAATGTTCAAGTACACAAAGCTACTGTGAAATAACATTTCTTAAACCCATTAAATGCATATTTCTCCTCTAAAACAATATACAATTCTGCCTTTTATACATCCAGCATCATAAGGGCAGATTTATTCTGATCATGTAACAGCTTCATTAGAAAGTTTTATAAAGGAAATAATATAAAAGTCTTAGCATTACAAAATCACACCAAATTAGAAAAAAAAGTCTCAAAGAAAAGCCAGCAAGTCAATAAATTAAACCAGTAACGGGATAATATCAAGGCAAGAGAGATTAGACCTATATAGCTACTTTACTGAGAAGCTTTTAAATGGGAAGTACTGAATGCTGCAGCATTTTAAATGTTAATATTTCAAACAAATTATTTCTGAGGGTTCATTTTTGAAATCACAAATGAAGTTTTGTGCTGTGCCAACAGTACACAATGTAAGAACATCATCCTATGAAGTAATCAAAAACCTAAGTTAAAACATGCTGGATAGAAGTAAATGTACATTCGTAAAAGATCTATTATTAACTCTATTCTGGTAACATTTTACAAATTCAATAATTTTATTCCAGTTACCACACAACTAAGACTGATACAGAGTTGTGCAAGACTGAGTCAGCAAGATATTTATGTATTTTCATCACTGTCAGTATATAAAGAGTTACTGGAAGTCAATGAGACTAGCACCATCATTAAGTTGCAGCCATCCAAGTACTTTAGTGAATCCAGATTTCAACACTAAAAACATCCTGTCAGTGTCTGCATTAATAATACTACTGGTATATGGACTTATATCTTAAAAAATGCTGGTTACATCAAAATGTCAAAGGAGATTTTGACATCCAGTCTATGTTTACTTGTAATCATATATATTTTAGAACTGCAGACAGATAAAACTCACTGAGTTTCAAGAGGAAAAATTGGCAGCTATAAGAACCAGTTGATATATTTATACTGCAACACAAGAGTAAAACCAGTTAGACAAGAGCAAGGACTGAGGAAGAAGCAAACTGTCAAAAAATGTAATTTTCCTCAATCTACATATGCACTAAATGGTACCATGAAACCAGAATCTGCCTAAAGGATAATTTCACAAAAAACTTGTTCCATTATTACCTTTCTTAAATTTGCACATTAACAGCAATACTTTGTCAAACTGAAAAGTACTTTTTACAGAAGATCTTGGAGAACCTGTGATCAATACACTTTTTGTATTTTTACAAAGGGTTCATCTTCATCAAAGATCCTGATTAAGTCAAGCGCAGCTTTTAAAATCAAAAGACAGTTTGATGACCAAGTTTCACTTTATAAATGGCATTTTTGACAGATCATAACGTAACCTGTTTCACCTACTTTTTCATAATTCCCATGAAATACATACAGTTGAATCCCACTGACTAGAATCTTAAAAGGATAAAAGCTCTGTGATACACAAATTCATGTGTAAAAGCAGAAAGTCATTATTTAATATTCCTATCTTTTATTGCAATATTGCCTAGAAGACAGCTAGGATAAATATCAGTTTGTTTGGAGGTTGCATGAAATAATGTAAACAATTCCATTAATGAACAAATACAAGAAGCAATGCCTTGCAATAAACCCAGTAATATCTGATATAAAGTATTTGTGCCCTATATTCTCTAGGTTCTATCAGGAAAAAAATGAGAACCAAATTTGTATAAATTCAAACCACTTATTCGAGTAACCCCCCAAAAAAGAGTAAGATTGATTAAACAGGGGAGTGGTTTGTCTATACCCCAAGAACAGCTTTATGCATTTCCTAGTCAATGGAATTGTTTCTCAGTGAGCAATGCAGTGCACTGAGGCCAATATATGGCTCTGATGTTGCTTTATTGTTTACCTACATTTTCTAATGCTTCAAGCATCTTTATACAGCATCACTCAAAGAACCCTAAAATTCCTGTCAATTTTCCTTTCTTGTTATGAGACCTGACCTCCAAAATATGTAAACAACTTCAAAAAGCTTAATTTTAAAATGTTCATTGATTGCAAAGAAACACATCTTTCTTTCTAATTAATGCTTACCTTTTCCCTAGCCAGACCTTGGTTAGATTTTGCATTGTATGTAAAAAAATCCATGACACCAGTACAATTAATTTTCTTACAAGGCTAACTTTTTAAATGAGGTGAGTCTCAGTGAAAAAATCTGATCGCAAAAGCCTCAGTTCCAAAACATTTCACTAGGCTTATGAAAATGTAAAGAGCTGCCAACTAAAACACAGGTGATAATTTTAATAACAGGTAATTTGACAAGGTGTTAGGAGATTTGCAGCTTTCCGGTCTTTCTTTAATTTGCCTCTACCTATTTCTAATTAAAAAAGCTGGCAGGTCTAATAATATCAAGTCCTAGTACACATCTCTTTTACAAACAGTTTCAACTGCCTTCACCAGTCTTAATGCAGAGTATTAAAAAACACCTATTAAAAACACTACGATAATCTTGTGCGTGACCAGATTTACAGTTATTTAATTTAAATGTAGAGGTTCTGCTAAAAAGTGACTCTTCAGTTTAAGTTTATATGCAAAAAAATTTTATACATGGTCATTTCAGAAAGTTTTAGACAAATCAAATGAGGTTATTTTATTTTGTTAGTATCATATTAACAATCTGCGATTTATGCATGCTAGCTCTTCAAGCAGGTGATTTTTCTGAAGTTTGATCTGTGCTCCTGAAAACCAAAGCCACTTACATATGGCTTTACCATACTTTAAGCATATGAACGTCTCACTTTTCCATCTCATAGTATCTCCTATGGAACAAGTACTTAAAACATAATGCATTAAAAAAGTTATGAAAATTTCACTACTAAAGTATGTTAGGTGCTATAAACTCAGAGCAATTAGCATTAAAGACAAAAATGGTGGAAGTGACAGCTAGATAATACAACGGCCAGGAATATATTCAAATTAAGAAATTATAAGTCTAACTATGAAGGGAGTGAGGTTCTGAACAGTTTTTTAATAGGAACTGTGCAAAGTAAAAAAACCCTAACACCTTCTTTTACAAAAAGGATTAAATTAACTCTTTTGCTTCAGTCACGCTGATACTATGGATGCTATAACCAGGGTATTACTGTAAGGAGTATAGTACCAACTCACAGACATACAAATTCACAAGAAGCTGCCTAGATCTCCTTTGAAAAAAAAAAAAAGAAACAAACCCAGTCAATGATCCATCTTAAAAGCAATTTACGTGTAGATGCCTGGCTGTACACAGGGGTACAGATTTGCACAGCAGATGTTATGAAGTGGACCCTGGTACACAGTGTTTTTCTTTGGTCCAGTGTTCAGAGGACCTGGCAACCCAATTGCTGATTCAAGAAACAGAAAACCTGCATTTTAAAAATTATGAACCATTACCGCATTCTCCCTTTGTCTGTTCTGAAGGAATTCCACAAATGAGAAAAAGACAGGTAAGATGGCAAACTCCAAGTTACACAGCTCTGTTTGTGTTACAGCACTTGCATACTCCTCCAGAATGCAGTGGAGAGGGCAGAGCTCTCTCTCTCTCTCTGTGGATGGCTACAGCAGTAAGCCCAGGATTTCTAAGTTTAAAAGATTCAAGAGGGATGCAAGAACTAAGGGATCAGAGGCAAATCACCATCAAAATAAGGTCTTTATCCTGAAAATTGTTGTTTTATTGTACTTACCATACATAACAAGTGCTATTACTAGTAAAAAAATATCTAGCACTATACTAATGAACTACAAGTCTGCCTGTAACAGAGAAATCCCATAGGCTGACTCAATCCACTGGGCCTAACCACTGCCAGGCTTTGAGATCAATTACCCAGCATTATGAAAGGCAGGGGCTGCAAAAGCCATTAGAGAAAGGCAATTTCTACATGAAGAGTAGTGAATTAGGGATGACATTTCAGCTCTTGCATTTGCCAGTTTATGTCAAGAAGATAACATTAATTACATTTGGATTTTGTTTTGTTTCACTGCAGTTGGGATCTGTTCTGTGTTCATTTTTATTGTTAGTAGGAAGACAGACACTGGTGTTTTACAGATCTTTGATTTCACTCTTGTCTATCCAATAGGGATGTAAAAAAATCTTTTTGGCTCTTACACTACAAAATCTAAGACCACTAACTTAGAGTAATATATTACAGTGACAGACTGCTGGCGAGGGTGAAATGTGTGACAAAGTGGAAATTTTAAAAGCTCCATTTTCACATTTCCTACAATGGCAAGAAAAAGGCTAGGCATCTAATTTATGCCTTATATTCAGCATGGGATAACATTTTAAAGCATTTTAGCATATATCCATAGCCTAACTCTCTGTGGCTAAATATCTACACCCCTGAAAAGTCCATGTTGGCCGTAACTCCAGAGAAAATTAGTATTTTAAAACCACAGTTTCCACTTCAAGGGTTTGAGTCAAAGATCCTGAAGGTAAAAAGAAAGTTATTTACTTTTGCATGCACTGGATTTGTCCTTTGGTTATCACAAGATAAACTAAATCTTGATTTCCTGCACCGTTAATTCTATGTTTATCGCTTCGCGTAAGAGAACAAAGCAATGCAGCCAGCCCTGTCTGCATCTCATGATAAGTAGTCAGCTGCCGCCTTCTTCAGCACCCTTCTATTCGATATATGGCCTCACTGTATTTTCAGAAACTTGTTCAAGATCCCCACTGTTCAGATAGCTTCCTGCAATCTGTTTCAGTAAGATTTGCAGTGTGCTGACACATAACTGAAACCTGGGAATTATTTTTTTTTACCCTATTAAAAATTTAGTTGATACAATGTGAGGTAAATAAAGAAGTATCAATAAGCTATCCCTGGACATAAAAATGCATGCTACTTCTGTTAAGGTAAGAAACTGCCATCCAGGAGTGGATGCAAGCATAAGGGTACCTATTCTGGATTACATTACACATATTTCTAGGACATCTTCAGGAGAAGTGAAATTAGATAAGACTTGTTTTCCCCCCTCTACTGTCGGCAAAGGCATCAAGGAGAGAAAAAGACATTATTGCCACACTTTCTTCTCTACGAAACGCCCATTAGAAAGATTCAACTAAAAACTCCCACTGTCAAGCCAGTCACGGTCTTTATCATACTTCCTAGTCCAGACATTGAGGATTTGACTCCTTTCCCTGTATACAGAGAAGGGAATCGAGTATATTCAAGAACCCAGCCTTAGAATACTAGCACAGTTGCTGGAAGTACAGTAGAGTATATGCATGCAGGCTAGAAATGAAGTTTTCATTTACATTTAGAGAAAACACTCCCCAAAACAACAACAGAAAAACTCAAGCCACAAGCATACGAGAATTACACCTTGCCTTCCCCTAATGCAGACTAAAATATCTTACCTGGTAGGCGTCTAGCTGTTCATCAGTAAATATCGTTTGCTTATTACCCATCTTAAAGGAGGAATTCTTCCTCTATGCAAATGCATCCCATTAGAAGTAGCTGGATTCCTCTGTACTGTAGGCATTTAGAGCACGTATACTCCGTGAATGTGCCGAAACAATCCCAAAGCCTGCATTGAACTGGTTTTGCCTGTAGCTGTCCAGTGAGGAAGGACGCAGTACTGGGAAATCTTTGCAAGGTTTGACTTGAGCGTGCCAGGAAGGAAAGCGTTAAAATCACAGGCGGGTGTCACCCCAAACCAGGGATGCCGTTCTCCGCCTTTTCCAGCTGCTGTTCTAAGAGGCATACAGCGGTTTTTTCATGCCCTGAACCCCGCGTAGGCGGCTCAGGAGGGCGCTCCGACCCGGCGGCACCTTCACGTTCCGGAGCGGCTCTGCCTCACCCGGCGGCAAAGCTGGGTAGTGCAGGGCTGCGACACCCCCGCTGCGAACCCAGCAACTAGAATTAGCGCAGGGAGCGCTCCTGCAGCTGGTCTGCCCCCAGCTAAAGGCGCATCCCAGCCGGCGCTGGGAGCTGCCCTGGGCCGTGCTGCCGCTGGGACCGACAGCTGCAGGCTCGGCCCCGCACCGTCAAAGCTTCTCTCTAGGCTGGGGCTGTAACCAGCCCTGGCTGCCCACGATGCGAGTGCGCTGCCGGAGCTGCCGAACGCCCGGGTATACCACTGAATGCGGGTATTCCTTCTCACATTAAATAAATAAGAAAAAAAAAATCAGGAAGACTCAACAGACGTTAATCGGAGTCCTTCGGCTCAAGCAAGCACAGCTGGAAAGAAAAAGGTGTTGCCACTGCCTAAAGCAAAGGTAGAAAGTACCACTAGAGGGCTCACAGTGTATTTTATGAAGTAATACAACTCTTAATTCTATCTTTCCGGGGAGAGGAAAAAAAAAAAGAGCACGTAAGAGAGATGCAGGCAGACAAAATTTAAAAAGTCAAACAAAAGTATATTATCTAACACCTGCAGAAGCATTGTAACAACAGGAGGAAGGAGTGAGAAAGGAGTGGAACAGGGAGGAAAGACCTGTTATGGGTAAGTTTCTTTGGACTGTTCACTTCCCATTTGTGCACACAGGAATGGGAGAGGGTTTATAAATATTTAATAAGTTTCCTACCTTCTTTACCTACAGCTCTGCCAATGGTCATTATTTCCTCAGCAAGACAGCATGTCTACCTTCTGCTTTCTCCCTACAGCTTCTAATGATCCTGACTTGATAACAGTATTGGATAATAGTTCAATTTACCTTGGCATATAACAACCCAGAACAAACATTTAACAATAGTACTGAAAGTAAATGCATTGTATACTTAGTACAAATATCCTATGAAGTGTGTTGGATATGTAGTAAAAACATTGTATGAAGCGTTGAACTGCAGACTGTTCCAACAGATGACTCATGTACAATGTAACAGTTAGAAATGCAGATTTTTTTAACTTCAAACCAGCACTACCCTGAACTATAGAACCAGAACATATTACCACATATGCAAAATAAATGGCTTGGGATAAGAATGTATTCGACAAGGCTTATTAGCATAAGCAAACACTAGAATTTTAACAGTGAAAGAAATGGATTCTACCAATAGAATCTATTGCAGCACAGTTGCAAAATAAGAAGGAAAAAGGTACCCTAGTGAGGAGAGTACAAACTCTGAATGACCTACCATCCAATCGAGAGCACAGCAAGCATCTATTCAAATATCAGACAGTTAAATTGACTGGTTTTCACATGGCCAGACTGACCTCTGCTTTTCTAGCCACCAGTGCTGTGATATTTTTCTTTTCCCCAAAGTACAGTGGCATTGGATTCTTTTTATGTTCCAAAAGATTCTCCACAAGTCAGAATGTAAAGGAAAAACACCAAATCTACAAAATACATCATTTCTATTTATTAAAATTGCTCTTTTAACACACTCTTTTTTGAATCAGAAGATAACAATTCATAAGGGTCCCTTGAGATTAAGAACTTTCACAGAACTTGGAAGTCATTTACATGTCCTCAACTCCGAATGAGCTTTATCCAGGGCTTTAGTGGTTATGCATATAATTAAGCATGTTTCCTATCCATGATTTGGTGCTACTGAAATGCCAGAGCTAGCAGCTGTTCTCAGTCAGACCAGACCAATACTTAGTGTCAAGTGATTTGCATGAAATAGCACTCCATTAACAGCTGCCTAATTCAAGCTGCCTGTCTATGCAAATCAGATTAAATATAAATGATCAAATTAATGGCATTATACAGAAGTGAGCTGACACCAGGGGTGGACTGGGCTCCATATCTTTTAATCTTGTGGTTCTGTATACTTAACAGTATTCTTAGAGTGAAAAGACTGACATCTTTCTTAATTTTTTTACCTTCTTTTATATTCCTGCCTGCCTGCTACCACTGCATGCTCAACGACACACATATCAGCTAGTCTCTATCCTTAGAATCAAAGTAATAACAATAAAAAGCAGAAGGGCTAAATGGAAAGCACCAACTAGATAAGACTTGTAGTTACAAAGTAGGCCACAGGTAGAGATCCTAAAGTTCACCAACATATTCCTGTTTATTCCTTTGGGCCTGGCTTTCCACTCACCCCCTGACCCCCTTTTCTCTTGCATATTAGAAATGCTATGGTTTTGTTCTAACGTCAATCATGCAGGAAAAATGTTATGGCTAAAAAGAGTTGATTTCTTTAAAAGAGTTATAAGTTCTTGTTTTAAAGAGAGACTCAGCTTGCCAAGGGAATGGCTCACTGACTATGTGGACAGAAAATAAATTGTTTCTTCTATTCTTCTTTCCATACTCTAAACAGTACTTTTTATTATTAAATAAAATTAAAATGTAAAGATTTTTAAAAAGAGGATTCAAATACTGATTGTTGAGGGTTCCACTATACTAGCTAGCTCTTCTCAAGCATGCTATAGTGGCACCTACGTTTCACCGCATAATTATCTTGCTATACTGACTGGGTAAAATTTAAAGACAGTACAATGCACAAACACTTTTTCACTCCTATCTGTTTGTATGTATCAAAGATCAGATAATTTCCCAGTTTGCTCTTTTTCACTTCTCCTATCTGTTTGTATTTACCAAAGATTAGTTTTATTTGCCAGTTGGGTGTTAAGCAATACTTAGCCCCAGCACAAGTGACTGTAACAAATCAATACTTTCCTGTGTGCACAGCAAGAGCAGCACCAGCCTTCATTCACACTTTACTGTATTTGTTTCTCTAAACTGTTTGCCAAAGCAAGTGATTTTAAGCTATTTAGCAACACATAACACATATCCCACAACCAGTTGCAAATAAAGTTTACTAAGGAGGACACTATATATACAACATAGAACGTTGTGAAGTACATTATACCAGAGAACATGGTTAAGTAGCCACTGTTCATCTCCTTTAAAAGTGTAATTAATGGAGCAGAAAAGTTACTATCAACCATGTACACCAGATTTAATATTTTCTAGCAAGACGGCTGCCAGCTGCAATAGCTTAACACCCACCTTAGGCTGCAGTCTGACCCCAGCCGCAGGGACTTGTTCCCACAGCCACAGCTCAAGGGAGTGGGACAAGTCATGGTCACCTCAGTGTAGAGTCTCCTGCTCTGAACTGTTGCTAGCCATGGCTGCTACACCAGGTGACTTTGCTCTGATTTAGTAGTAGAGGTGTAAGTTTAATAACCTCCAGCGGACAGGTCATACTACCTTAAATTGCCTCTGTAAATTATGCAGTGAGAATTTGGCTGTGGCTTAAGTATGAAAGCTCTTATTCCTCATCAAAGGAAGATCAAGCTACTATGAACAGAGATCACTTTACCTGTTAAGAAGAGGATCCACACAGAGTTTTAACAATTAAGTTGCCTATCTACTGCCTTCACAGCTCAAGCTGGTTTGCTATAACTTGTAATTGGGGAAAAAAGAACCTGCAAGATGTCATGCCCCTTACACCAAATACTCCAACAATTTCTCTCCCACACAGATGTTTCCTTGCAGATTAGCTGTTCATAAAGATTCACCCTGTCAGCAAAAAGAACAGCTGTGTTGCTACTTTCTGAGTTGTTAGGGCCTCCTAATGCAAGTGTAACAATGATCACTACCCACAATGATTACAAGGGAAAAAAGTTCTATTATCCATCGACGCTGTGGAAATTCCCCCTGAGTCTTTGGGGCTTATTTACTTGAACACTACTCACAATTCTGTTTGCTCACAGGTAAACGAGGAATAATAATGTTCACCTATAATAAGTTCTGTGGAGCTAAAATAATTAAAATGCTTGTGAGTTCCTTAAATAAAAACGCTACAGAGCTACAAAACATTACCACTGCAATGTGGTACACCATCATACCTTGCCTCTTATAGTTATTGCAACATATAAATAAGAAATTAACTGTACAAAACAGAAACCCTAAAATAACTGAAAATGACAGTTGGATGCTACTGCAGCAGATAGAAAAGTTGCGTTTCCAACACATGACAGACAGGAGGATGATTAGACCACAGTAAATTTGTCTGAAAGTGCTGGCCTATAAGAGAAGACTTGATGGGACTGAGCCCTGTCTTATGAATGAATAAACAGAACCTGAGAAAGATGCAAAACTCATGGCCCTCTAACTGATGAAAGATGCTATCTGACTAAATTGCACTTGTTATAGACAGTGGGAACTTTCTGTAGAGTTTTTTATGCTAAAGAAAACAGAAAGGAAAACCTTGTGCCAAATTTGTTGGGTTTATGATCTTATCTATCTAGCTTAATAAAATACACTATCTTAGAAGATGGAGGTTTCTGACTGCATTTCATTAAGCCTAATTTATCCACAATAAATCTAGTAAAAATTACTTTTTTAAAAAGATGCTTTACACAAGACAATGCTTCGCGTCTGGGACAAACTAATAAAAAATGAATAATGGTTTCCTAAGCAGACAAAATTTAATGTAATGGATTTACTCACAGAGACACTTGATACAGTGCTTACTAGGGGAAAGAAGCTACAGCTATCCTATATAGGCATCTTTTTTCTAGGCAAAATAACTACTGATGGTTACTGTTATGGTAGCACCTATGAGACACAAATCAGAACAGCAATAGCTGTTCAAAGTTTATGTAAAAAAGAATTTCTCCCCAATTTCTCCCCTCATCTCAATTTACAGTTGAAGTGTAAACCCAGAAAGTACATGCAAATACAGTCAGAAAACACAAGAAAACATGAATATAGTGATCAGTGTACTATAGCAACATAAACAACATTTAAGGAGTCCTTTGGTAAGTATCATGGCAAATGAAACAACAAACATGAAGGAGTAGAACAGATATACATCTCACGGGAAGCAGTACAGTAAAACATTAAGAAATCAGCTAGTATGTCCTCAAAACATCATAGGTTAGTTTGAGATGGGATCAAGCCTCAGTTTACAAAAGGGGCGAAAAAAAAGCAGAGAACAGGACACACAAACTGTGGCAACTAAAGACAGCACAACAG